TAGCAAAAAGAACAAATAACCCAAATACCCATCAACTGATGAATGGACTTTAAAAAACACAGGTTGTGTGTGTATATATGGTAATCATACATAGAATTGTTTTCAGACATAAAAAAGAATGAAGTGCTCACAAATCTTAGAAGGATGAACCCTGAAAACTCACTGAGCCCTTCTGAGTGCCACTTGTACTTTTACTCGAGAGCTTAATAAAAAACAGGGTTTCATTCAACACACAGTAGTGACTATTTGAATTCCTTTTCAGTTCAAATTAAATAATTTATTTGCCTTTATGATCTGGCTTTTAAACAATTCTCTTGGAAACACTTGATTAAGAATTTTAAAAAGACCAAGATGAATCTCACCTCCAAGATTAAAATGAAGGCAGTACCTAAATATGACTTTTATAAATTTAAACACATTAAAAAACAAATAAACAAAAACATAAAAACCCCAATACCACAAAGGCCTCAAACAGTCCTAACATATTAGTGGAGCCCATCTGTAAAGTACTTTGAGAGCCTTAAGGAACAGCAAGAGATTGACATTTTGTGAGTAAACAACTCATCCCAAGTATTATCCTTATATTTTTAAACAGTGTTTGTCTGTCCAACTACAGCACTCATTTCGTTAGAACTGGCCCTTGAGCCCTACGTTAAGTTTACAAAGCCTTTGGTAAAAATAAATGAAATAAATCTGAAAAAAAAAGTAAAGTTCACAAAGCATGCACACTGAAATTGAGTTAAAGTTAAATGTTAGTGGAACCTTGATGTCTGAGTGGATCATTTAAAAACAATACTACACATCCAGATTCCAACAAAACACAGCAAATGCAAAAATAAATAAAATAAACATAAAAACCAAATTAGGGTTGTTTTTTAAAGAAATCTTTTAGCTGCTCTGCACAGCATGTGGGATCTTAGATTCCCCACCAGGGATTGAACCACATCCCCTGCAGGGGAAGTAATATTAACCACTGGACCTCCAGGGATGTCCCAGGTTTGTTTATTGTTGAATCGTTTTACTATGAGTGGGCAGAATAAAGGGAGGGAGTTCAGATGCTGTCATCTCCAGTTCTTCAGTGCCAGGCTTCTAAGCACTCAGAATGTCAGAAACAAAAGATTTGTAAGATAACACTAAAATAAATGTATTTTAATTCACCACTTGCTTGGTACTATTCTAACGACAACAAAAGCAGAAAAATCACCCCCTTAGAAGTTCGAACAGTATATAGGTTTTCTACAAGGCAGTCTTCTACTGTGTGTGTGAGACCTTTCTCGTTATGACTCACTGAAAATTAAATATGCAAAACTCCAAGCTGAGCTTAGTTTTGCCTGTGCACAGAGACCTTTTTACTCTCATTCTTCGAAAACCTCGTTTTGGATCTTGCTGCCAACACCAGAGAGAGGAAAGCCGGCCAACAATTCCAAATATAACATGCGGAGGCAAATGCTACAGAAATCTGTCTGACGGGAAGCGACCATGCTGAGGTCTGCGAGGGAGATGCACTTCTCACCCAGACAGTTCTGGTCCCTCAGATTGTCTGCAGCAAAATGCAACCAGAAGCAACCGTCTAGGTTCCAGTCAGCCTCACTAGTGATGCCCTATGGTACTCACTTTGTCCCTGAGAACAATCCCATCCATCTCAAACAGAAAGATGGGTCGGCTGCAACTAGAGCTCTGCCAGTTTTCTAATTTTTTTTTTTTAAAGGCTAATTTTCAGGGACCAGTCCATGGAGATCAGTATTTTCAGAAAGCTCAACAATTATGATAAAGGTCAGGTTCACCAGGGAACACTTGAAAACACCTCTTCCTGGTTCTCTAGGGGCAAATTTAGTAACCCTTACCACCACTCTGAATAATTGATAAACCAGTTAAACTTGGATAAAATTGATTACCCTATCACTTAAACGAATATGAAGACATCAGCTCTTCAAATTCAATTCTTTAGTAAGTCCAGGATTCTGAGCATAGGACAATTCATTCCCACCCAGAAAGTTATCAGCGAAAACCCAGAAACAGGGCTCCCGGTCTAATTAAGAAAGGTTCCTCTTACAGAGCACTGGCCCCTAAGAAAAGACAAGACAATTAAAACAGCTTATTGGACCACTCAATTCCTCCAGTAGGTTATCTTAGAAAAACCCCCGGGGTTATGGCCATGTCACTAAGTCCAGCAGGTAAAGTGTACCTAAAATCACTTCTGGAGCATTTTACTAGATCCTGTTCACTGTGAGGCAAGCTGGTCAGGCACACCAGAGACTGCAAAAGGACTTGTCTCCTGGAGCGTTGAATGGAGACCTACAGCAGCACTGTGATTAAGACCTACAGAGTTTGCAAAACTATCTTCCCTTTTGTACGTTCTGTATAAGAGGAAAGTCATCATTACTATGCTTATGTAAATAATCCAGTCTTAGCCAGTTATAAAGGGAAGCAAGAGAGAACAGACACACCTCCTAACCTCCCTCTCACATGACACAAATAAGTGATAATGGGACAAATTACCGAGAGCACAATCAGGAGTCAAAAATTTGACACTATTAACTGCTTGACCTAACTACTTGGGTTGAGATGGTTAAAGAAATACTTCTCTTGGGCTAGAAAGAGTGTGGGATAGGAAGCAGTAAAGTGGGATAAACCTCACTTGAAAGAAGGCTTCCTGCCTCTGTACCAGTATCTACAATGTTTTGTGATTTTTGTAACTACTCAGATACATCAATGTTACATTCAGTACTAGCATCTTCAAAGAGGGAACTGGAGATGTGAAACAAGGGCTGTCTCATTTACTCGGATTCTCAAATCTCTGATTACCACTTTCCATTCATGGTCTTAAAAAAAAAAAAAAAGTAGTCAATGAAATGCATAGTCTGAATCTCAAAAAGAAGGAAAAGCAAAGCGCCTCTCTCTCCCACCAGCTAAATTAGAACTGTTAATTGTTACAACTTGACAAGACTTGGACTCATCTAGTGCAAAGATTCAGGAGTTAGGTTTTAGAGTTTAAAAGCCCAATCTCAGGCAAAACAGCACACTTCCCTCTTGTCTGAGGTTTTTAATAAACAATTTCAGCTTGATTAAACAAATAATAAAGAGCTTACAAAAGTCTCACTCAATATGGGAGTCACCCTTCTTGGTTAACATTCACTTCATTTGAGAGGTAAAATATTAACCCATGTTTTAAATCAAGGAGCCTACAATTCACTCTTAGTATGTATCAAACACAATCACAAACCAAACAAAATCAACAGGGAATAACTAGTAAGCAACACAACACCACCCAGTACAAATCTCTTCTGTGCTCAACAGCACAGGAAATGTGACAGGAGATGGCTTACACCTTATAGGAAGCAAAGGCTAAAAACCACAGACCCTTCCTGCTGGCCTTAGTCACTAAGCAATAAAAATTTTAAAGCCATCAGCAAAGCTCCCTCCAGGATAATCATTTTTGTCCCTGCAACATTACAAGCCAAGATGGGGTGCTCTCCTGGGCAAAGGAATCTTGGGAATGGTAATGGGAGCTTCCTACAGAACTTCTGACCACAGACTTAATTTGCCCAGTATCAGTCATCTGTCTAGTAAGTTTTCCCAAAACTGCAATTAGTACAAACACACAATAGGCACTCTTCCACCAACCTAGAGGCGGAATGTGAATGGAACTGTGTAGAGAGCTTAAGGAAAACCTCACTTTATGGGTTTTTTTTTTTTCTTTAAAGAAAAGGCCAAAAATGGCAATATCAAAAACGGGTGAGAACAAACGCAGCAGCCCCTCTCTTTCCCGCTCTCTCCCCAGCCATCTCCTCTCGCAAACATCTGCCCCAGTCAACTGTTGCTGAACAGAACAAGAGCCATCTGAACAAGATGTGATCGGGGTCCCGGCGCAGATGTGGGATTTTTGAGGAAGGCCGAGGTGCCTTCTCCAGGAAGGAGCTGGAGTTTACACTCTTCTTGGTCGGATTGTTCTGGGCTGAACTGCTGAGGAGGATCAAGCAGCGGGCGACTAACCCCGGTCCCTCCCTCCCTCTTCGGTCTCTCGCCTCCCCTTGTGTTCATTAAGTGGGGGGAAGAAAAAGCGCCTGGCTTTCCAGCTCTCCTCTCCTTAAAAATGCCCTCGCGGAGCCACCGCACACAGAACCCCGGCAGCAAAGAATTTTGCAGAGAAGGGTTCGCCGACCCGGAGCGGAGCAGTGAAATCGGCGCCCAAGGGCAATTTTAATTGTCTAACCCGGCTCGATTTCCTAAGAGGCGGCAGCGCGGGGAGGAGAGGGAAGAGGCAGGCAGCTCCGACAGGCAACAGGGGCAAGCGGCGGCAGAGAAAGGGGATCCCAACGGCAAGACCCCAGCCCCGGCGCCCGACGAGCTTCCGCCGAAAGGACTCCGAGGTTACCCCACTGTTCCCCGGGAGACGTCTGCAAATCATATATGCAGCCAAAATGGCGCTGAGAATAAAAATATAATTTAAAGGCGGGTCGCCATATTGTAAACAGAGAAGCGGAGCAGAGGCGAGAGACACCCTCCATGATTTCTTCCACGACTGGGAGCGCCCGGGTGCCGGGTCCCTCGGGCCTGGACCAGGGCAGCTCCGGCGGCCGAGGGCTCCGCGCACCCACCCCGAGGCCAGCCCATCCCGGCAGGAGCCCGAGGGCGGCGGGCGGGCGCGCGGGCGGCGGGCAGTGAGCGGCGCAGGGCCCGGAGCTCCTCCCCTTCCTCCCCCGCCACCGCCGGCCGTGCCCCGCCGGCTCCGTCCCGGCTCCCCAGCGACTTCCAATCCCAGATGGGGCACTCCGCACTCCTCCCCACCCCCACCTCGGGGTCCGGACCTACGGCTGCTCCTCCCCCTCAAACGGCCGGATCCGGGCCGCACCTGGGGGCGGGGAGGCGCTCGCCCCAGCGGCAGCAGAGAGCTAGCGGCTGCAAGCGCCCGTTATCTCGGCCAGCAGGGGTAGGCCGGGTGAAGGAATGTGCCGGGAAGGGTCCGCCAAGGGGCTCCGGAGGGGGTCCCCAGACCTTACCAGCACTGGAGATGGAAGGCGGCCGGGCAGTGGTCACAGCACAGGAGGTCCCCACCTTCTTTGCAGCTATCGCAGCTGTCGTGGTTGGTGGCCCTGCCGCTTCTCCGGGGCTCCTTCTCAGGCTTCCGACTCCGCTTTTCGGCCTCGTCCGTCTTGGGGGGAGCCAGCAGAGCTTGGATTTGCTGCACACACATACAAATGGCGTGTGTGCACACTCGGAGCTCCCGGGCGGTCCGTCGCCCCCCCGGCGCGGCTTCTCCGTCACCCACCCCTCTCCCCCCTTTTGTCCTTCTTCCTCCCATCCAGGCTGCTCCCAGAACCTTTTAGCCCCTGGAACCAGGGGGAGCCCACCCTAACCGCGTTCCTGCCGCACAACAACGAGCACCGCTTCTTCCAAATGGGGAGGATCAGAGTAGGGGGATGGGGAGAGGGTGCGCGGTTCCCTTCTCGCCACTTCCTTGTATGGACAGTGGGGGACTCCAAAGCCAGGCTCGGGAAAGGCCTGAAGCCGGGTACCCGGACGTGCTGGGGGAAGCACAAAGGGGCCGACAAGGAGGGGGTGGGGAGGCCCGCCGGTGCAAAGAGATGGAGTGGGTTGGCGCTTCGGGAGAGCGAATCGAGGGCGGCGGGTAGGTGAAACTGCTGCAAACGTCCTCGGCGGCTGAGCTCAGCCCCCCGAGTTGCAAAGATGGGAGGGAGAGTCTGGGTGAGGAAGAGCCCCCCCCCCCCCCCCGCTCCCCCGGCCCTCTTGCGCTGCGAGCTCAGGGCCGGCTTTGTGGGGCGGAGGGCGGAGGTTCCCTCCCGGCGCTGGGGGAAGGGGATGAGGTGGGCCACTCTTACCTCCATCAGCCCCCCCGACGTGTCCAAGTCGTACACGATCGTCTTGGTCTCCATTTTCTCCCACATTCATCCACCTCCCGGGCTGGGCGCTCTCTGCTCCGGCCCCCCCAACCCCGGGGGGAGGGGGGAAGCGGGGGGAGGGGGCGCTCTGGACCCCGGCCCTTCTTCTTTTTTCCAAACACGGGTCCCGACTTCCTCGCCCTGGCTCCCCCCCACCCCCCGGCCCCCAGTCCCCGGGACGGCAGCGTCCTCCCCACGGGCCGTGAGGGGGGAGCGGCCCCTCAGCCCCGGCCCGGCGGCTGGCTGCACGGTGGGTCCCGGCTCGGGGGGGGGTCAGGCCTCGGCGGGGCCTAGTCCCACAGGCTAGAGCCGGCGCTGGTGACCGCTGGTCCGGCCGGGAAGGCTGGCGGGCGCTGCCATCCCGGGGTTGGGGGGATCGGAGGGGGGGGTGAGAGGTTAGGTGAGGTTGTGGTACGTGAGGTGACTGCGGGGAGGGTGATGGGGGGTGGTCCCCGGGCTCCGCCTCTCGCCGCCGCCGCCGTCTGCGTCCCGGCTGCCGCGCACTTGGCGCAAACTTACCGCGAGCGCCCGCAAAGCCACCCGCGCAGGCGCCCCGGGATCGCCGCTCGCCGCGCGCAACCGCAGTGACAGCCGGCGGCCGGGCTCCCGCGCAGCCGCAGAGAGGGGGCACCCCCCGGCGCGCAGCCGCGCTGGCATTCGTCTGAAGGGCCGAAGCCCCGCCTTTCAGCCCTGCGCCAGCGTACTGCGACGAAAGGGCGGGACTTGCGGTCTCGCGCAGGCGCCTGGGAAAGCTCCGAAGGGTCACAGCGCAGCCGCAAGAACACCAGGGCTCTTCATCCATTGGTGTTTGAGTGTAGACCAAGAGGACTGTGTTCCCGCGCAGGCGTGTTGCGGATGCTCCCCTCCCGCCCCACAATAACACAACCGACTCCGGCGCAGGCGTATTGTCACCAGAAGGCCCCAACAAGAATGCTTCTCCTTTCGCCATTTTGGTAGTGGGTTATAGACTGCCATGCCCTTGGAGTCCTCAGCCGTGAACAGAAAGGAGCAAAGTGTGGTGTTGGTTGGCGCTGGTAGGCTGTCGGTGACAGCGTGTACTCCTAGGGATGTTGTACTGGACTGTTTGGTTCCAGCGTCAGGTGTGGCTGGACCAGGCGCCATATTGGTAAAGAGAAAAAGAAAAGCCATCGCGACGGAAAACGATGGTTTTGGTGTCGGGTTGGATGGCTTCTGTTCTCTCTTCCCTCCCGCTCCCAGCAGTAAATTTTAGCCTGATCACCCCTGCCTTTAGTAGTGATGGCACCATGGAGGTCCGCCTGCCCGATACAAACCTCTTTTGATTACTGTCTCTGAAAACTGCCCTCCAAGAGAAAGCCAAAGGCGAAGAGTTTGTAATGCTGACAACGCCCAGCTACCTGCCCACAGTGGACTTCAGCTCCCAGTTTGCAACGCGCAGAGGTCCAAAGGGCGAAGGGAGAGCATTGCACCCTGGGAGCAAGAATCGCGATGGGTCTGGTGGATTCTGGGAACCGTAGTTCCGTGTGATGCGATGCGTGCGATGCAGTGTAATGTAATGTGGACTGGGGAAGAGCGAGATACCTTTCAGAGCTGCCACTGTATGCTGGGATTTGTAGTCTGAAGGTCTCACCTTGGACTCTGGGCGGGGCTTCACGCTCTCCACCGCGCCCGTCCCTCCCCTTGGTGCCATCTACAGAGATGGCCAGTTGCCTCTGCCTGACTGTAGATGAAGCGGTGGAGGAGGGAGGGGCATCATTGTGCCTGACTCGAGGCGTTTAGTTGGCATTGTTACCAGGTAGCTGTGTCCTGGCTCACTTTTGATGTTAAGGTATACTTAGCATTCTCAGAAACCTAAAACTGGAAAGGGCTTAAAAACCATCTGTATTAACCTCTTCATTTCCAGATGCAGAGAGAAAAGTAGTGATTTGCCTAGTTCACATAGTGAATTTATGGCAGACCTAAGAATGAAACATATTTTTCAAATTCTCAGGTTAGGATACTGTCTAACTGCCTGAGAGGAGTTGCTGCTTTGGGGTGGGGGATAGTAAGGAGGATGAGTTGTATAGGGTGAGGTCGTGGGTGTGTGGTCTTTGGTTTCTGTTCTGACTTTCCTAATGATCCGGTTGGTGCCTGGGAAGAATAATAAAGTCCTGGGTCTTATTGATCAAGCAGGGGAACATGTCATGTAGATCGGCACTCTCTACCCTCTACCAGCCTCAGCAAATCTTAGTGGCTCTGGGACAGAGATGTAGCCTTCAGAGAGAGAAGGGCTGAGTTAGAAGTATGGAAGTGGCTGAACCTCATGTCTTCTTAGGCAGTGTTTCATGCTACAGATGCTCAAAAATGGGTATATCATGTACCCTCTCCTACTGGCTTCCTTTCTACAACTCAGGGCCCAGCCATGCTGCTGTGTCAGCCTGAAGGTATTATGGGGCAGATAAGTAAGCAACTGGCACATGCCCAAAGAGCAAGGCTTTGCTTTGGTCAACACCATCACTGCAGTTGAGAACAGACATAGGCATTAATGGGCTAATGAGGGAAATACTACTTGGCTCTGTTGACAAGTACCAGGGGAACTAATCACTCCACGCACCTTCCTCTCAGAAGTTGGAGGGTGAGGTCAGCCCAGTGGGGCTAGAAGTTGGTGCCACCTTGGAGAGCTCCAGCCCTGGATGCGCCAGGGGGATTGAGGAGAGCAGGTGGGATACACATGCCTTTGGAAGTGACCTCTTGTGGCTAATGTAGGCACTGCATTCTGCATGGGCTGGAGCCTCTCCATCCTTCAAGGTGGCTTGTGGTAGGACCAGGAGGTGGCCAGCCATGAGCGATCCAAGATCTCCGAGTTGGATAACTGTAGAAGTTCTGGTTGCTGCCACCATTTCCGTCTTCTGGCTTCTGAGTGCCCACAACTCCCTATTGTCTTCCTTTTGCTCTTATTCTGGAGAGCAGCAATGCAGAGCACACCTCTAAGCATGGATGTGTGTGATGCAGACCAAGGCTGGCTAAACACATCTCAGGAGATGCTGGGGGCCATAGAGAAGGGGCAGAGATGCTGAGAGGGACCAAACAAGGCAAACTTAAGCACATCTTCAGTTACCTCTTTCTGGAGTCCATGGACACAGCTTTTGTTAAATTAGGAGCTAAGCCCCTAGGCTGCATTGCCTCTGCACCTGACAGTCTGGATGTTCTCTGAGGCCAAGACAGACTAGAGCCTCACGTTTAGGGGCTCAGTCTCTGATTCCTATTCCAATTTCCTAAACCTTGCTAGCTGGAATGAAGTGAAGGAGGAGAGGCGTCAGGTTTTCTGGGCTTTTTCAGCAGTACAGTGCGTTCGAGGACAGACTTAGGACTGTGCCAGGCTTTGGTTCTGGACCTAGCAAAGAGGGGGAAGTGAAGCACTGGGATGGCTGAGCATTTCAGTTTCTGGGTTCCCATACCCCTGTGGCACCAACCTTGGGGCCTCTCACTGCACATGCCAGCTGTCACACTGGTCTTATTGAGACAGTAGTCCCTGAGGCACTGGCACACGTGGATACGTTTTGTTTTTGTTTGCTTCACTGCATGTGGGGCTTGCAGGATCTTAGTTCTGTGATCAAGGATTGAACCCAGGCTGTCCAGTGAAAGTGCTGAATTCCAGACACTGGAGCCTCCAGGGGATTCCCATGACTGGTTTTTGATAAAGTCTGGAGATGATCAGTTGGTAGGTTTAGCATGCCTTCTGGCCCTCAAGTCCACATCCCATTTGTCTCCCATCTCCCTTCACTCCAAGAAAGCACCATCCACCAGGCCATTGCTTTTTTTTTTTTTCCAAAAACACCATTTTAATAAGGAAACAACAGAAATAGAAGATTGTTCTCTGACTGGAGCACAGACCCCATATAATACATTACATGTACAAAGTAGCCTGCAGCCAACTCCTGGGCCTCTCCCTGGGATGCTTTGACCCCCTATTCCATGCCAAATTCCTGCACCCGTGGACCTCTGCTCACCTCTAGAATATGCCTGCCACTCCCCTTATCCCAAAACGCAGTTGCCAGGAGGGAAGCCTGACAGGTCGCTGGGGTTGGAGGAGGGGAAGGTGGGCAAGAGGGTGTTTTTCACAGCCGGACTGATGTCAGGGTAGGGTCTCCCTCTCTTAGGGTGTAGGGCCGCCAGGGGAGCAGCGGGGGGTGTCCTGCTTTGGTGTGGAGCATGAGTGGTGTGGCCTAGGGGAGCCCAACCTGAGCTTGGGGTAGAGTCCCTAAATCCCTTAAGATCCCTTAGCATTATTGCCTCCACCAGGAAGGGGCAGGAGGCAGAACTGACCATTCCTGGGGCCTTAGAGAAAGACTAGAGATTTCCCCCAGGGGACTGATGTCAGCATGCCAGGACTACCCAGAGGTCACTGTTGAGAGCGGTTTTGGCGACTGGCAACGGCCCTGTGAGGAGCAACCTGGCACAGTTTCTGCCGCTGTCATGCCAGGGCTGCTGCATGCCAGGGCTGGAGGGTGGTCACATGGAGGGAGGTACTCTGCCCTGCCTGTGAATTCCAGCCCGGAGGTCCCAGGCCTGAGAGAGGGTAGGAGAATGCTGGTTCTTGGTGCATGTGCTCCAGCTATGTTTGGCCTGGAGGCAGATGCCCCTAACTTGGACCCAAGGAAGGGCCCTAAGTGGGCAGTGGTCCCAAGAAAATAGGCCCCGGTGGGTATTGCAGGCGGGAAGCGCACAACTTCTTGAGGGACTGGCGCATCTCTTCCCAGGCGGTATGTACAGGAGGCGGAGGGCAAGGGAGCAGGAGGCTGGGAGCTCTGCTGCTAGGCTCGGAGGCAGGGCGGAGCCGGCTTCCCCAGGCCACCCCACCTAGATGGAGACTTCATATTCTCTCGTCTCCTGCAAAGGAAAGAGACTTCTGGGAGTTGGAAACTTGTCAAAGGCTTGCCAGCCCACAATCCACCTTCCTGAGGAAAAAGGAAAGAGCGAAAGGGCTTGGCAGGACCCGCAGGGGTACCTAGCCAAGGAAGCACAGAATTGGGTCCCGACTAGGGTGTCGAGCCTGGCCTGGGTACTTACTCCAGTCTCGTAAGTTGGATTATCAAACGCTGACTCCACGGTGATGCGGTCATAAGGGCGGGGTCGTGTCCGGGGCAGCTGCAGGGGGCTCTTCCCCTGGAGCCTGTGCAGCAGAGAAGCCTAGGAGTCAGGAGTGCTGGGCAGGAGCGGGTCAGGGGTGTAGGGCAGGCAGGGAAGCCAGACTCACCTGCAGAAGTAGAGGTACACACCTCCCACCAAGAGCGCCATCGCCACCAGCGGCAAGAAGATGGCAGCTGCGATGTGAGCAGCATCCAGCGTGCTGGAGGCAGCTGGCACTTTGGCAACTGAAAGCACAGAGGATGGGGCTAGGGCAGAGGGCCCTGTTGCCTGGGTCCCACATCCCCTTGTCTCTGCCCAGGGGCAGCCAGCCGCCAGCTCCATCTAGCTGGCTGGGGGCGGGGAAGGAGCTTTTTGCCCCCTGCTAGTCCCAGATCTCTCTCTTTCTCTGCCCTCCCTCCTTGGGGAGCCCACAGCCTGGAAGCTGTGAGAACAAGGGGCAGGGAGATTATTTCCCTGACCCTCGAGGAGGTTGGGGGCTCACCATCCAGGCTGCGGCCGCTGTAGAAGCCGTCCAGAGAGGCTGGAATAAGAGGGGAGGGCCAAGGGCAGTGGGTGAGCCCAAGAGCCAGACCACAAAGGCAGGGAGTGGGCTGGTTATGGGGAGGAATTTGTCCAAGGGGAGCCCACCCCAGAGTTTGTCACCAGGTCAAAAGGATCTGGCAGACACCCGGGAGACCAAGAATAACAAGAAGTGGGGGTGCGTGGGCAGGGGGTTTTGGTTCTCAGCCTGTGACATCTTTGCCACGGCAGCCCTGTGGGCCAGGTAGAGGTTCAGCAGATGGCAGGACACTCACCAGCCCTACAGATGGGTGGGGGGTCACTCCAATGTGAGGGGTGTCCGGGCACACATTTGATGCTGGCCTGGCCCTTCAGCACGTAGCCAGGGGCACACGAGAAGTGGACGGTAGCCCCCGCTGGGTGCAGCCGCTTCTCGGGACTGCGGGCACCATTCTCGGGGGCACTGAGGCCGTGGCATGGTTTGAGCTGTTCTACTGCAAAACAGTCAGGGCCCAGTGAGGGTGCCAGGCCCCCAGCCGCCAGAGGCAGCAGCCTCCCACCTCCCCATTTGACACTCACGGAGACATTTGGGGGCCCGGTCGCTCCACTTGGGGCTGCTGGCTTGGCGGTCATGGCAGGTGAGGAGGGCACTACCCGTCAGCACAAAACCCTGGTCACAGATATACTGCACGGTGGCCCCCACGGGGAACTTGGGGCTTGATATGAGGCGTCGGCTGTGTTCCACGTCCCCAGGGTCATGACAGGAAGTCACTGAGGGTAGGGAATGACAGAGGGAAGAGGCCCAAGTGGAACTCAACAAAAACCACTGCATACTGGTTTTGTTTCAGGCCTGCCAACATCTTCAGAGCACAGGGCTCCACCCCTATTTATCTGCCTCTACCATTGTGCTGATGTTATCTCTCCATTTGTCCCCCTCCCCATTCATCAGAATCAACCAACACTGATGGGCCACATACCAGGAATGGAAAACTTGGAGTACTTGGTGGATAACCCTATGAGAAGGCATGATCCCATTTCACAGATGAGGCAACTGAGGCTATGACTACCAGCTAATAACAGCTAGAGTCTGGATCAGAATCCAGGAGAGAGGCTTGTAGGCTGCACTGGGGAGAGCGTGCGGAGCAGGTACACTCACCCCTCTGGCATGAGGGCAGGTCCTCACTCCAAGTGAGGTCCCACTGGCACATGAGGACGCTGGAGCCCACCACCTGGTAGCCAGGGTAGCACTGGTAGGTGACGACGGTGCCATGCACCAGCTCGGGCTGCGACGGGCTCTTCCAGCCATTGGGGATCTCAGGTAGCTCCGGACATGTGTCATTACGGGGCACCTCTGGGGGCAGCAAGATGCAGGCCCTCAGCAGCACCCAAGGGAGACTGTGCCAGCCTCCCTCCCCTCGAGGGCACGCCAGCTCTTGCCAATTCGTCCAGGCCTGGCCTGGCCTGGGCAGGTTCAGTGATCATGCCTTCCTGCTCAGGGGTCCTTCCTTGCCTGTCTCCTAGACTCCAGGGTCATCACCTAAACTTTGGCCTTACTTCCAAAAGCTCATTGGCCAATTCCTCAGCCTTGAGAGAGGGGCCGGGTAGGGTGGGGAAAACGGTCACTTCTGTCAAAGATTGTCAGAAAGGTAGAAATGAAGGCCTTTCCTCAGTTCCCTGTTTCTATTAGGAAGTTCTTCCCACTGTCTACCCAGCTCCCTTTAGCAGAGGCTTGCTTCCTCTCACTGGGCCCTCAGGGGAGATGGAGAATAAGATTAGCTTCCCGAAGGTGATGCCTGGAATGTCCCAGCTTCCCCCAATCAGATAAGAGTGCTCAGACTCCTCACCTCCCTGGCCTTTCTGACTTGCCAAGGCTGGGGGTCTGCACCCTGGCGTCGCTTCTACCCCCAGCAGCAGGGCAGGGCAGGGCAGGGGCAAGCTCACCAAAGAAGTGGATGACGAAGCCCTGCTGGTAGCCGAGCACTGAGGCCCCGGGGTCCGACTGGAACTGAATGGTGACATCAGCCATGGAGGTAAAGAGCTTGAAGTGGCCACGGGGCCCAGAGTACTGGCCCAGGACCCGAGCTGTCAGGTCATCCCCGTCATAGAAGGTCAGCACGTCACCTGTGCCTATGCGCAGCCTGTAGAGGGGAACCGTCAGGCAGGGCAGGCCGGGGGGACCCCTAGGACGGGATGGCTGAGAAAGGGCCCCAGATCCCGGGAGGCAGCCTGGCTGAGCCCAGCGGGCACTCACACTCGGACGTCCAGCATGATGCGCTTGTCTTCCTCCACGTGCACACCCCAGATGCAGTCCTGCCCACGGCCGTACGGCTCCGGCCAGTTGGGGGAGAGCACCACGCCGGCCGAGTCTGTGGTCTCCCCACTACACACGGCTGGAAGGCAGGGGAGCCGCATCTCCCTGGCGTCCCCCCTGCCCCCACCCCCTGCAGCCTGGGGCTGCCTCTTGCCCACAGGAGTGCCTGCCCACTGCTGGGACCCCCCACCTCCTCCTTGGGTGGGGGGGGGAGTTTCAATCACATGTGTCACCGGGCCCTGTGGTCCCAGGCCCTGTGGCCGGCTGCCTCGTGCCCACCCCTCTCCCTGCCCCCAGCAGGCCTAGCCCCTGATGCCTACTGACCTCGGCAGGCGGGCTCTGTCTCATTCCACTGGGGGTCGTGGGGGTCCACGCACTCAATGATGATGGAGCCCTGCTCCAGAGTGTAGCCAGGGTCGCAGCTGAACTCCACAGTGGTCCCCACAGGGTAAGAGGGTGCACTGCTGCTGAAGTTGCCGTATTTGACAAAGGGCTCATAGCAATGGCCCTGCTGGAAGGCTGCAAACCACAGGACCCAGCCCAGCTCAGCTCAACCGGGGCAAACAGGGGGCAGTCATCCTACTTCCCTCCCCAGGGCCTTTCTCTTCCTGATGACAGATGTGTGTCTGGGTTTGGAGCAGGGGATGGAGCAGCCCAGAGCGTCTATCCTCAGGAGGCCATCACCATTGTATTCTCAGTGCTGAGTTTGTGCTTAGTACACAGAAGGTGCTCAATACATGTGGTTTTTTTAATAAATTAATGAACACATGCTCGCGTGAGTGGTGCTAGAATGTCTCCTGCAGCAGTTCTTCCGTAAGGGTTGGGGCTATTTTTATTCTTCAGACTCTATAGAGAACTGATTCTCTTGGACCAGAGGGCCTGGGTCCAGGCAGGGGTCTCCTGCAAATATGGAGTGGAATCCTGAACTTCAAGGTATATGAATAAGGAGAGAGGACCTGGGTGGCAGGTGAGCAAGGGGCGAGTTGGAAGGCGTGATGAGGGAACCGAGGCAGAGAGGGAGGGTGTGAGAAGAGACCCTGGGCTGGAGACCCCAGCTCCTGGTTAGGCCCCAGCAGGCTCACCCTCGTAGCGCAGGGCCATGCCCGCAGCCACCCCACTGCTGTCAGTACTGAGCTCCACGAAGAAGTGTCGGCCGGAGCTGAGCAGGCCCTCAATAGGCAGGTACTCCACCTCGTAGGAATCATACACGGGCGGGGCCTCCATGTTGTCCCCATTACGGATGATGAGCCTGGGCCACAAGAGCGGCAGCTGCGTGGCTGGTCGCTGGGTTGGGTGGGGTGAGGCCCCAGGCTTGGGTACCATCCCTCTGGTGGGGTACTACCAGGCCAGGCACTCCGATCCCACCAGGACACCCCCCTTACCTGTCATCATCCTCTGCCAGGGAAACCTTCTCAAAGTGCAGGTGCAGCCGCTGGCCCTCGGGAGCCTCAAGCAGCCAGTGGCAGGTGAGGTTGTTGCTGTAGTTGCCCGGGAAGCCGGGGGAGACGATGCGGCCGGTGGTGGCGTTGCGGATCACTCCACCGCAGGCAGCTGTGAGACGGGCCGCACTGTGGGCTTGGCCCCGGCTGGACCCTAGATGGCCTAGCAAGCCTCCCCGCCCGTCCCAGCTCCATGCCTTCTGCACGGGGCAGCAGGGAGCTTGCCTTCATGGCTCTGGAGGTCATTCCTTTGCCCCTGTGACCCTGCAGCTCCAGGCAGCCAACCTCCTAACCTTTCGCTCCTCCAGGACCATTCACGTGCATCTCCCTTGACTAAGGGGAATCTGCGGCTGCCGAGCCACGTGGCCCTGGGTGAGTCACCTTTCCTCACTGCTGACTTCTCAGGGAGGCCCTCCCTGATTCCCCCTCCCAGGTGAACTTTATTCCCCTTCCCAGGGTTCCAACCTTCTTGGATTTATCTGCTGCCTCTGTCTCAGACCAGCTTCCTAAACCAGTTATTTTTGAAGATGTCCCTTAACTAGGCCTTCCAGGGTAGGGGCCAGGTCTTTTCAAACCAGAGACAGAGTTGGTATTCAATGTTTTTTTTTTTTTTATAAAATGAATGAATGACTATGAAAAAGAGAGTAGGACTAGATCAGGGATGACAGCACCTGGTGGGCATGCCCTTCACCTCCAAGCCTTGTGCCTGTAGCAGGCCTTGTTAGCCAGGAGACAGTCTTGAATCAGCATCACTGCTACTGTCAAAAGACAGGCTGACCCCTTTCCAGCACTGGTCCCTCTGGCCTGGGACGGGGCCCTCTTCCTTAGCAGAGGCTCGGCAGCTCGCCCTTCCCCATCACCAAGGGCTGCTGAGTTGCTTGGCCACAAGCTCCTGGCAGTTAAATGGGGCCAGAGAAGAAGTCATGGGCAATAGGACTCTGGCTGGTCCTGGGTAGCACTTTCCTTTCCTGGACCCACAGCTCTGGACTCTGCCAGCTCTCAGAGACCAGGCTACCCCGGCCAAGACACAGTGCCTTTGTCTCCAAGTGGTCAGAATGAAGAGTATTTTAACCTAACAAAGCTCCTGGGGAAGGGGTGCTGGTGAGTTGCTTCTCTGCTTCTTTGCAGAGAGGGCAGACTCGCCTTTCTGCTTGGTCTTGGAATGGCACTGCCCTTGAAATCTGACTATGCCCCATCCTCCACTTAAATTCCTCAGTGGCTCCCTGTTACCCTCAAGATAAAGTCGAAGCTCAAGACGGGGTTTGAGCCCTTTATAAACCCCGCTCTCTCTTGACTCGTCTTCAGCACTTCCCGGTACACTGTCTTCTTGAGGCGCGCCCCGCTGTGTCCTCATTGTGGCGTGCCGCTTCATGTCTCCGCATCTCTGCATGTGCTGTTCCAGGGATCCATTCCACTTCCCGGAGCTCTGACATGCCCGTCACCCTCCCCTGCCTTCTCCTTGGGAAGTTTTTTGGACCTCCTTCCTCAGTTTCAAGCGGTTCTCCCCTATTCCTCCAGCTTGGATCTCCATGGTGCCCTGAGTTTGCCCCATCACAGCACCATCTGCCCTGAACTTCCTGGGTTGCTTTCCAGTCTTCCTGCCGAACAGAGAGCTCCTTGAGGGCAGAACCCACTTCTGGCTTATTCACACCCACTTTGGCCTGAGGCCCAGAAAGAGTTTATAGGATGAAATAAGTATCAAAACCCCAAGCTGCCTTTCACCCTGCAAACAAAACACTCCATCTCACTTCTGTCAACAAGCCCGTCTTCACTGACTCTCTGATCACCCAGGACCAGAACCTAGAAGTCTCCTATGTCCCCCCTTCCCTCGTCTGGGTCTCTGGAACCTCTTCCCACCTCTTCATTCCCAAAGTCATTGTCTAAATTCAAACCCTCTTGCCTGGCTGGCTGCGAGCTTCCAGACACTGCCTCCCTATCTCTCCTGGGGGACAGTTCTGAGCCCCTCCCTCCCTGTCTCACAAAATGTAAACAGCTCTCCACCCAGTGTCTTGGCTTGACATTCAAGGCCCTCCCATCGCCCTCTGCCCCTGTCTCAGGCCTCAGCCAAACCTGGCTGTTTTCTTTGTCCCTAAAACGCTCCCTCCCTCTCTCACCTCGGGGTCACTGCCCACACTGTTCCCTCCACTGAAACCTTCAAAGCCACTCCGCCCAGGAAGCCTCCTAAGCACCCAGCTAAGAACGACTGTTTCCACCCATGCCAGGTCACTCTGTCTCTTCATCCATACTTTTAACTTCCTGCTCTGGAAGTTGGCGACCCAGGGGCTGTCTCCCTCTCTCATATCCTAGAACTGTGGGCTCCTTGAGGGCACAGTCCCTGTTTAATTCCACTCGGTATACCTGTGGTGCCTCCATATAGTAAGTGCTCAAGAAGTGCAGGTTGTGTGAATGCTACTGAGGTGTGAGGCCATTTTCTGGCTTCATTATGGAGAGCAAATGGAGGTGCCAGACCGCAGTGGAAAGCAGGAATGAGCCTCCCACCTCACTTCCCTGATCGGCATTGAGTCACCGGGGGCCACTCACCGATGCAGACCGGCTCCTGAGAATCCCAGAAGGGCTGGGTGGCATTGAGACAGGTAAGGAGCCTGGCACCCTTCAGCTGGTAGCCAGTGGTACAGTGGAAGCGGGCACTACCTCCAGGGTGGAGGCTGGTGACGGTCACGGCTCCATAAGCTGGACGTCGGGGAAAATGGCAGCTCAGGAGATAGGCTGCAGAGAGAGAATGAGTGACATGTGTATGTGTGTGTTGAGGGGGCTGAGTCATAGCCAGGGCAAAAGGGGCCTGCCCCAGCCCGCCTCGAGGTGTCAGAGGAAGCATCAGGAATTCCAGAAGAGACTCTGATCCCCTCCCCAGAAGGTGTCAGTGATACTTCCGGCAGCCTGGGCTGGAGCAAGCACAGAGCTGGAAGTTGGAGCCTTGGGTTCCAAGCTTTGACACTCCAGGCAAGTTACTTCACCTTTCTGTGTCCTAGTTTCCTCGTTTGTTAAATGAGGTTCAAGACGTCAGCCCACTTACAGGGTTATTGGGAGAATAAATGGGGAGTATTTTACTCAACTTGGTATCCCTGGAACCAAGAAGTGTGTACTGAATGACTTATAGATGTGAAAGCACTCGAAATAGTGAAAAGCCTATGCTGATGTGAAGTATTGATATTATTTTTTCTGCAAGGGACAAAGATGAATTACAGCAGGAAACACCAAAGTCAGACAGTAAAAACTTTCTGAGTATTCACTAAGAAATGCTAAAAAGCTTGATGACAAGAGCTGTGGACTTTGAAAAACAGAACGGGTCCCAGGTGGGGAAGCAGGATACAACTGCATGGAAGTTGTGGGAGGAACAAGTTGCCCTGGGAAACTTAACTTTGAAATTGTCCTACCAAGTATGACCGAATGGTGGCAGCAAATCCTATAAAACAACCCAGCAAATCCCAATCCAGTGCCAAGCTGGGGCCTTAGCTAAAAATGGGGACCAGGGCTGAGAGGTGGGGAAGAAGGCCTTGGAGGGGTCAAGGAGAAGGGCTGAGTGAAGAGTCTGGGCTATGGAGCCTGAAAACCCTGGGGGTGCTGGGAGAGATGAGAACCGTCTAGACTGAGAAACCACTCCTGGATCTTGGGAGTGGAGGAGGCCCACCCTCACTTGATAGCACTAGGAGGATGGGAAGTGAGGTCCAGGCAGGAACTCTACTAGCCTCTGGGTGTCTTTGTATGAATATAGGAAAGGGCTGCTTCTGGGCAGACCAGGGTCCAGACACAATGTCAATGCCAATGCTTACTTGCTCAGTCATATCGGACTCTATGCAAAACCCCATGGACTGTAGCCCGCCAGGCTCCCTGGTCCATGGGATTCTCCAGGCAAGAATACTGGAGTGGGTTGCCATTTCCCACTCCAGGGGATCTTCCTGACCCAGGGATCTAGCCCACATCTCCTGTGTCTCCTGCACTGTGGGCAGATTCTTTACCTTTGAGTCATCACAAGTTTTGTGATTTTCACCTGGCCTGGCCTTAGTTACTAGGTCTGTGAAAAGGGGAGACCATTCCTACCTTTCCCTCTCTCACAGAGTTCTTAGAAGAATGGCCAGTGAGCGCTGGCTTGTGACTGGCAGTCAGCTGTACGGGGGCAGTGCTCAGGAGGTGGGCTCTGAGGTCAGACTGCCTGGGTTTGAATACGGGATCCTCTCCTTGATATGCCACTTTGGGCAAGTTACCTAACTTCTCTGTGCCTCAGTTTCCTTGTTTACCCACCCTGCATTCTATGTTGTTACATGAGAAGATATATGTGCAGTGTCTGAACCTTATATATTTGAACCTTCACTAATAGTTCTGGGGCAGGGAAAGTGAAAGTGTTAGTCACTTAGTTGTCTGACTTTTTGCAACCCCATGGATCATAGCCTCTGTCCATGAGATTTTCCAGGCAAGAGTACTGGACTAAGTAGCCATTCCCTTCTCCAGGGGATCATCCTGACCCAGGGATAGAACCGGAGTCTCCCTCACTCCTGGCAGATTGTTTATCATCTGAGCCACCAGAGAAGCCCTGGCACAGAATAGCACCAGATGCTGTTATTGTTTGTAATTTTGATTAATAAAAGCACCTCACATCTGCATGGGAAAGGGAGCAACTTCCAGCTTCTAAAGTGCCTTTATGGGACTCCCATGGCGGTCCACTGGTTAAGGCTCTGTGCTTCCAATGCAGGGGACAGGGAACTAAGTTGGGGAACTAAGTAAAAAAAAAATTGCCTTCACACCCTTCTTACTTGATGCTTAGGAGGAAGCTAGGGTTTATTAACTCATTTTCAGGTGAGGAAAAAACTAAGGTTCAGAGAGACGGAGGGACTTGGCCTGATCACAGTCAGTAAGCGGTAGAGTGAGCACTTGAAGCTCCTGGCTCTGGAGCCCACTTGCTTTCTATCTCCCCTTTCCCACCTGCTTTCCCAGTTGAAGTAGAAATGTGGGCTCAAGAATCAGAGAAACCTGAGAGTAATCACCAAGGCTGCCCTGGGTGGTGGTGCAGGGTGGCCACTCACAGTGATCTGGGGAGGAATCCCAGGCTGGAGTGGGATGGGACACTCTACCCAGAATGGAGGGGGAATGACACCCAGGGCGGTCTAGGTCATGAGGCAGATGGCATGCTCAGCACTTGTATTTCAATCTTCCCCATAACTCTTGGAATGGAGACCCCCCATTTCACAGACTAGGAAATGGGGCTGATGTGAGGTTAGAGCAGGAGGCTGGGGGCAGACGATGAAGCCCCCAGACTCCATGGTGGGTAAAGTGCCGCTTCCCAGGACGAGCTTCCTCCTGTTGCCATGACGACTGTTCCCGGGGAGGCTGCATCGCTGCAATCTGTTGAGCTATTTTCTCCCTGGCATCTGTTTCTGGGGCCAAGTCCAGTGCCAGGAATATTCAGGAGGGAGGAGGGGGATGCCTGGCAAGTCCCTCTGCTTCTTCACCCTGCCTGAAGCTGTGGGAGGGGAGCTGGAACTTTGTTCTGCAGATGAGACCCCTGCCTCGTGATCTCCAACATTCTCTTGGACAGCTCTGGCAGGGCTGTGGGTCTGGGGCCCCTCACCCCCTCTTCTGGCACCCTCTTTCTCCAGCCCGGGGAGACGCGTATGAGCGCACACTCCTCCTGTTCCCATCTCTGGGATCAGGGCTAATTACAGCCTATAATTAGGGGAATTACACTCATTAAGGAAAGAGCTGATCATTGACAAAAACTGGGCCGAGGAGGGAGGGCTTCTGGGAACTGAGAAAGATGCAGGACTGGGCCAGCTTTCCCAGCCCCTCCTTGGGGTCCGCACCCCTCACCAGGCCTCCACCTTGCTGCATTTCAGCCACCTTTGTCTGGCCCAACAGAGAGAAGGTCCGAGGATTTGTGCAAAGGAATCTGTAGCTACTGAGAAGGTTACCGTGGCGTGAAATTATGCCTGCTGCTAGGGAGGATTGATGAGCCACGAGGGCCCTTGCCTCAAGGCAAGCTGGTCCCTTGTCTCTGACAAGCCCCTGGCCAAACCCTGGTGACTACGAGGCTCCCTATTACCACACCAGACTGCTCCCCCAGTTTAGGTGGAGAGGCCAGGAAGGTGTGGGTACTCCTTGAGGGGAGGACAAGCATCCCCATCTCCAGAGGAGAGGGGAAGAGGTCCCTGGTGATCAAGGCAACTGTTCTCATCAATTATCTCCCCATCAGCACTCCTCAGTTTGAACTGGTTACCTTGTCACAGCAGTGCAAGGGATCAAGGAGACTTTGCCTGGGGAAGAAGGGGCCGGGAGGGATCCTGGTGGGAGAGGGACAGAGCTGCTTTTCCTCCCTTTCCCATCCTGCCAGCTCTTTAATATAGTTTCCGGTTTTCTCATGGATGAGTGCTAAACAGTTGTCCACCATAGCTTTGTGGACTCGCTGTTTCGGTCTCATTTTACAGTGGAGGAAAAGCGGTCAGAGGGTTAGAGAGGTCAAATGACTTGCGTAAGGTTGATAGCCAGGGGGAAGGAGATTCAGACGCCGATCTGCCCTTCTCTTGAGTCTGAGATTTTCCTATTACGTCATACCACTCTCCTATTTCCAGAGGTATTCTGAGCTGACTGGGACATGGGCCAAGTCCAGGGTGGGTGAGACAGTTCAGGAAGGCCAGGGTGGTAGGTAAGGACCTCTAGATAGATGGTCAGCCATCAAGCCCCTTTGACCTTGACCCCCTTGCATTTGGGAAGAGGGCCTCTGTTGTTAACTGCCTGTTAAGTGTCTGCCTGCTGCGGGGATTCTGATTTCCTTGAGGGCAAGGACTAGGCTGGGTCTTAATACTGCCAGTCTCCAGCACAGGCCTGGCAAGGAGCAGATGCCTAGGAAAAGTTTACTGAATGAACGAATGAGTGGTAATGGACACACCCAGGGCTACCTGATTCTGTGTCAGTCCCTCTTTGGGACAAGTTCTCTGGTGGGTGATAGGGTAGGAGGGAACATCCTGGAGGTATCAGATGGGCCATGCTCACCCCGGTGTATGTTACTAGCCTCTCCGTGTTCCCCCCCAGGCTGTAATAGCAACAGAGACCCCCAATAGGGCAGCCAGTCCGGACTGGTCCTGCCCTCAGCTCCCCAGGCCTACCTTGGTAGTGGAAATGGAAGGTGCCAGGCCCAGCAGGGGGTGGGAGGCTCTGGAACCTCAGGGCTGCCTGGTGGGTGGGGCTGCGGATGACTTGGCCCCTCAGCAGGAAAGACTGGTTGGCCAGGGGCAGTGGGTCTGGCCCCCCGAGGCCCTCCACGGTCACGGTCTCCCCCTCTCGGAGGCTGATGTTCTGGACCTGCCCGTGGGATAGACAGAGCAAAGCAGATGGGTCAGGCTTCTTTTTACTGATTGAGCCCTGCTGCCCTCAGGCTCCCGCAGGCCCCGAGGCATGGCCAGTCCTCAGTGCCTCCTGGGCACTGGAGCCCCCAACCCGGAGCTAGGCCCTTCAGTGCAGGAAGATCTCATTTTACCTCCCCAGTAACCTTGTGAAATGGGACCTGAAGTTCACAGATACTAAGTATATTATTCAAGGTCACAGAGAGATTATAGGGCATTCCAGGCAGTGCAATGGTAAAGAATCTACCTGCCAATCTAGACGCAGGGGACATGGGTTTGATCCCTGGCTTGGGAGCCCCCTGGAGAAGTGAATGGCAACCCACTCCAATATTCTAGCCTGGAGAATTCCATGGACAGGGGAGCCTGACAGGCTCCATGGGGTTGCAAAGAGTCAGACACAGCTGAGCACACATACGCATGCACCCAGAGATTAGCAGAAGTGGGATTTGTAAACACATCTGGAGGAGGGAAAGGCTACCCACTCCAGGATTCTGGCCTGGAGAATTCTATACAGTCCATGGGGTTGCAAAGAGTCAGACACAACTGAGCGACTTTCACTTCACTTCTGTTTTCCAAAGCTTTTCAACTACACCATATGCTTCCTGTCCCTTCCTTGCTTCAGGCTGTTTTCTCATCTGTAAAGTGGGGATGCAGTGGGTGGGTTGAACTAAGTGGTGTCCAGGGTCCTGGTCAGCAAGGTGGGGTCTTAAACATCAGACCCATGAGCCCAGTTTCCCCTGAAAATCCCCTGTTGGATGCCTCACAGGCATCTTCACCCAGTCTGCCTCAAACCTTCTTCTCTTCTTCTCTTTCCTCAACTAGCAGCTCTCCTGGCTCCCTAGCTCAGGGAATGACCTCACTATCCATCTGCAAGCCCAAGTTAGAAACCAGCATCTTGCCCCCTGCCTCATATTCCACACCCAATCAGTCATTCCATCCTGTCAACTGGCCCCAGCTCTGTTCCCTGTCCCCTCCCCACAGTCCTCGCTCTTACTGTTCACCAGGACCAATGCAGCAGCCTGCTGCCAGCCTTTCTGCCTGCAGGGCTTACCCCACTCCTTCCTCTACATCACTATTATCTGAACTGCAGCCAGGGAATAGACCCGATCTGTGGGTGCTCATGGTGCTTCCTTATTTAAATCCTCCCTGACTTTCCAGTGAGCCCACAAAGGCCATAGTATCTAGTCCAAGCTCTTTGCTGTGGCCCTGGGGTCCCTGCCCCACTTGGCCCCTGCTGACTGCTCAGCCTGGTCTTACACCACACCCCTCCCTTCTGATCGTTTCCTGTCTGTCACAGGCCCCCCTGCCATCACTCCAATCCTTAGTCCTTCAATCCCTGGAGCATCCTTCTGGGCTCCATGCCTTCATTCAGTCAAACAAGGACTGGATAGCAACAGCATCTGCCCAGAGGAGAAATGGTAGTGATAGGATTAGAATAGGAGAGTTAAACAGGTAGCTATAGAAGTCCCAGGAGACTATGGATAGAGAGGGGAAACCTAGGAAACTTTGGGACACCACTCTAAGTTAATGATCACTCAAGAAAGCTATTGGAACATCGTGAAGTGAAGCAGGCTTGCTTAACCACAAAGCCATAAGTAAAAGCATGAGACATGCCCCAGGCCATTAAGTAAAGGAAAAAAAAAAAAACAAAAACGAACAACCTTCTACTGTTTTGAATAAGTGCTATGATAATCCAAAGAATTGATGCTTTCGAACCATGGTGCTAAAGACTTGAGAGTGTCTTGGACAGCAAGGAGATCAAACCAGTCAATCCTAAAGGAAATCAACCCTGAATATTCACTGGAAGGACTGATGCTGAAGCTGAAGCTCCAACAATTTGTCCACCAAGAGCCGACTCATTGGAAAAGACCCTGAGGCTGGGAAAGATTGACGGCAGGAGGAGAAGGGGGCGACAGAAGATGAGATGGTTGGATGGCATTGTCGACTCAATGGACATGAGTTTGAGCAAACTCCGGGAGGTAGTGAAGGACAGGGAGGCCTGGTGTGCTGCAGTTCATGGGGTCTCAAATAGTCAGACACCACTGAGTGACTGAGCAACAACGATAATCCTAGTTTGATCTCATAGGATTGAACACTCTCCTGCCCGATATGAAGGAGCAACTAGTGATGTAAGCCTGACCTCTTCTCAAAGAAGGCAGTCTTTCCCCCTCTCTTACTTTCCTTTGACTATAAAATTATAGCCTACTTAATCCTTGGGGTAGAGTTCCCTCACCTGCCCACTTGCATCTCTTAACAATAAATCCTATGTTAATAAATCTACTTCTTGCCTATCATTTTGACTCTTGCTGAATTCCTTCTGCAGTCATTCACAAAGAACCTGACCTTCATTAAATCCTGAAACCAGGCATGTGACCTCAGTTGGAAGATCACGGGTTTCAGATGGGTTTGAGTCCCAGCACTGAGATGAGATCAAGCCCCAGGCTCAGGTTGAGTGGTTTCAGCTCAGGTGAGTGTATGGCCTCGTAAAGCAGCACTGGATTAGGAACCCAGAGGTCTGGGGCCTAATTCTAACCATGTAATCTTGCACAAATATGCCGACTATTTGAGCTTTAGTTTCTTCATCTATAAAACGGCCCAATGTGAATCTCTGCTACTCAAAATGTGGTCCCTGGGCCAGCAGTGTCAGCACCACCCAGGAGCTGACTCTCAGACCCCATCTACGATCTACTAAATCATCCGTTGCATTTTAACAAGGGGGCTTCTCTGGTGGTGCTAGTGGTAAGGAATCTGCCTGCCGATGGAGGAGATGCAGGAGATGTAGGTTTGATCTCTGGGTTGGGAAGATCCCCTGGAATGGGAAATGGTAACCGGTTCCAGTATTCTTGCTGGAAAATTCCACTAACAGAGGAGTTTGGTGGGCTACAGTCCATGGGGTCGTAAAGAGTCTGACATGACAGCACACACACACACACTTTTTAACAAGATTTCCCCCATGATTCCAAAGCACTGATCAACATAGTTTCCAAAGTGCAAGTTTAAGTGTTAGTTGCTCAGTCATGTCTGACTCTTTGCAACCCCATGAACTGTAGCCCCCCAGGTCCTCTGTCCATGGAATTCTCCAGGCAAGAACACTGGAACAGGTTGCCATTCCCTTCTCCAGGGGATCTTCCTGATGCAGGGATCGAACTCGGGTCTCCCGCATTGCAGGCAGGTTTCAAAGGTCCCTAGTATGTTGCTCTGAGGGAGGACTTTCATGGATTATTCACTTGGGCTAGTTAAGTAGCATCCAGTGAGTCACCAAATCCCTCCTAATCTTGCCTCCCAAATATTTCAGTTGATTCCTTCTCTCCATCCTCTTGTCTCCATCTTGGCTCTGATTACCACCACCAGCACCCCACCCCTCCATTGTTTCCCACCTGACCTTCACCCTGTCCATCCCCAACTCATCTCCCGGGCCCTGGCTGTCCCTCATTGGTTCATGTCTCTCTTCTACCCAAAGCTATTGGTGATTTCAGATTGTTCACAAGACAAGGTCCAAACTTCCCAGCTCATTGTTGACTTCGACAGCTATGCCAGCCTCTTACTTTCACTGCGGCCACAGGCCATGCTCACTCCCCTCCTCTGGGCATTTGCATGCCCAGGATCCTGCCCAGGAAATGCCTGCCCTTCTTCCTCTCCTGCTGAAGCTGCTCATTCTTTCAGGTCTCAGGGCCACCATCCTCTGCCTCCAAAGCCCAGACAGTCACTTCCTTTACTTCAGGCCCTCCCCACCTGTCCTCTATCTATTAAAGCCTAAAGGTAGCATTTTGGATCATGATGGCTTCTTCACTGGGGCTTTCCAGGTGGAGCTAGTGGTAAAGATCCCACCTGCCAATGCAGAGACATTAGAGTCACCGGTTCAATCCCTGGGTTGAGAAGATCCCCTGGAAGAGGGCACGGCAATCCACTTCGGTATTCTTGCCTGGAGAATCCCATGGACAGAGGAGCCTGGTGGGCTACAGTCCATAGCGCTGCACAGAGTCAGACACGACTGAAGTGACTTAGCACGCACACACCCTCTTCACTGGCCAGTTGCAATAAAGACATATGGAAAGGGTGAATGGGCGGGTCGCTGGATATACATCACTTGCCAGAGGCTGCTGAGAACAGCGAGGTCTGAGGACAGAGCTGTGCTAGACTCTGAGCCCCTCAGACTATGAGTGCTGAGAGCAGAGGTGCCCTGCAGACCCCCCTGCCTGGGAGCAAAGACCTGGGGGATCTTGGGGGCTGAGGAGAAGGCCCGAGGCAGAGATGCTGGGCTGAAAGTGCTGCTCCTCCAAGAGCAACTCAGGGCATGTTTGGGTGGAGGCTGCTGGACCATCTGCCAGGGACAGTCCTCAGGGAATTCCTGCAGCAGGCGGAGGCTGGAGGAGGTCCCCTCAAACTTGGAGATTCTGTGATTCTCGAGTTGGGCAAACAAGACTCACACACGTGGAATCTGTAATTATCGAGAGATGCCAGGCAGCATATAATTCTGCCTTAAGTGGGACTGAACGCATGCAGCAGGAATCCTCTAGGGGAGAGTGGAGGGGTTGTAGGCTTCGTGGGGATAGAGCCTGGAGCAGGTGGGTCTGAGAGTGCTTCAGGGGGCGGGGCGGTACTAGGAGGAGGAGGAGGAGGAGGAGGAAGGGATGACATCACTGCAGGGAAATTGCTAAGGAAGCAAAGGCAGAGAAATACACATGAATTTAGCATTTTTCCTAGTTCCCCTAAACACCCTTTTGACCCCAGCTTCCAGGTCCCGACCCTGCTGTTTAGCCAGCAACAGCGGCAGCAATACCAATAATTACCATTCACAGAGCACCTACCATGTGTCAAACCTTGGACTATTTACAGATATTATTTCATCCTCACCACAATTCTATAAGGAAGGTAGGTGGTAAAATCCCCTTAAGTAAACAGAAGCTGGGAGAGGCTAAGGAGCTTTGGAAAGGTCGCACAGGTGTTAAGCAACAGAGC